GGGTTTTTTTCTTCATCTTTTTATTCTTATAGTTTTTTATTCTCTAATCTAGGGTTTTTCTGTTATCGAAACGTGATTTTTCTTATTTACAATTAAAGTTAATGTATGGAAAAGAAGATTGATTAATCTAGAGTATGAACCTTGGCTACTTACATGTTATATAGTTTTATGAAGATTTGTAAAATTAATATCATGCAACACATCCTGTTTACTGGCTATCTGACAGGATAATCAAGAACAACAAGAAGCCAAACAAAGGTTTGATTATTTTAATAACTATATGAGATACGATTTTTTTTCATGAAACTTCTCCTCCTCAATTTGTTTGAAGTATGGTCATTTGTGGGTTCTGTAACTCATCAAAATAATTGATCTCACTGCTCTATTTTGTTTTTTTGATTGTGATTCTAGAGAGTTTGCCCCACTAACTGAAAATACTTGTTTAAAATATGCAAATACAGGATTTTGAATAGTCACAAACTGGTTTAGATTTTAAATTTTTTAGTCTCCATTTTATGGCTGTGTTAGCTTTCAGTGATTTTTCAATACATCTTGACTGAGTTTGATTCTTCTGTGGCATATGTAAACTGCGGTAAGCATTTATATAAAATTAGCATTTAATATAATCTCAGATTATTTATTTAATGCCTCAAATAATAGATAGGTATATTTTGAAGGGTGATATGCTGTGGTGAGAGAGCCTGTATATTTTTTTTGGGTCCTGGTAAGAGTTGACTAAAAAAACTGGTCAAGTGGGTTGACATTTGTTTCTATTGTGTTTTAAATCTTGGTAAGAGTTGACTAAATATATTTTGATTGTTAATTTATATATATGTATTTGAAGATGTTAAATATTTTTTTGTTAACAGGTTGGAATCATTACAAGTAGTAAATCCGTGCATGAGGTCCAGTTGGAGTAGTGAGACTCCTAACAACCCAATGGTGTGAACATGAATCTTGAAATTTTAGATGATTAGGGGCATACATGTCATTTCATTGCCACTCCAATGGAAGGATGTTTGTACAGGGGTACTGAGAGGAATCTTATAATTTAGGTAAGTTATATTATTTAATATTCCTACTAATTACAGTATATATGTGTTTCTTATATGATTCATATAGTTTTATAATTAATAATGCATCAAATGAACAGCCCAAGGAAAAACGTACTATTACTTTTGCTCGATCCTTTAATTTTTTTTTTTAATGATTTGTACTTTGAAATGGAGTGAGATTAGCATGTGATAGTAGAGGTTATGTAAAAGCTTGCAGATATCTAAATATGTCTTTAGTGATTGGAATCTTGCATTAAGTTAAATTTTCTAATCATCATTATTAAATCTTCTTCTGGAGGTCGATAGAGTGTCTAATTATGGGTTGAAGTTTTGAAAGGGGGCAGGTAGAATCTATGGTTAATTAGGTTGTTAACAATTATAATTATTTATTTATAAATATACAAGCATTGTACTACTTATTAATATTTTGATTTTAATTTTCAGGACAATTAATGATCAATTGATTGATTCTGCCATGGCTTGGGTTGTATGAAGGTAATTCTCTCTCTCTCTCTCTCTCTCTCTCTCTCTCTCTCTCTCTCTCAACACATGAAATAGAAATAGAAATGGGAATGAAATTAGTTGATTACATAAGATGTTAATTCTGAATTACATCCTTAATTAGAACCACCCTCTTCATCTTTATCTTTTTGTTGGACGGTTTAACTAAATTCATTCAAAAGATGCATTACAACTTAACAAAGAAACTGCATTTTTGTTGGGTGTTTTTTTGTAGATACATTTTATGTTTGTGTTAGATTTGGTGAAATAAGGAACAGGGAGGTGACATTAGAAAATGAAAAAGGAAAGTCCCAACTCCTGTAAGCATGCTTTATACCAATAAAATTAGAATTAATATAATTAATGTCTCAAGTATTATGGCCTTTAATTGTTTTATATATAGGTTGAAGAGTAGTATCTTTTTTTATATAATGGGAATGCTTAAAGTTGTTGTTGGTTTAAAAGGGAAAAGGTTAGCCATTTATTTTAACTTAAATACTTTAAATTTCATTCAACTTAATGATTTTGCACCAGTGACACAAGATGAATGCATAAATAAAGTTGATGTCCCTTTTTGTTTCCAAGTTTCCGTATTTTTATTTGAAGATCTTGAATCTTTTTTTTTTTTTTTTGTTAAAAGGTTGGAAGCAAAATCTCTGCTCCTAACAACCCAGTGGTGTAAACATGAATCTTGAAACATCAGGTGATGAGTACCAAAAAGTTAGGTAAAATAAAATTAAAGTTGATGGGTTTTTATAATTTGTATGGGATTAAAAACATATAATTATGGTTACGCTTTTTCTCCAGCAAAGAAAGAGACAACACAGGAAAGAAAGGGTAATAATATTCATCTTGCAGTTTCATTGTTTTAATTAATTCTTGGATTCATAACAAAGATAATATGTATTTGAAATCATTTTGATAGGTAGAAGATGTTTCATCTTGTGGAGTAGAGGGTTAATTTGTACTTAGATGAATCGGTTCTTCAAAATCAAAATGGATTTCACACCTTTTTATTATTATATTAGCATTTCAAGTCTCCAGCATCCTCATCTTGGAGGTATTCTTTTCTCATAATATTGCTCTCAGAGCTGAATTTACTTCTACAATGACCAAATTCATATAAGATTTTCCAAATTTATCATGTTGTGTCTCCCTTGGGTGGTATGAAGGTAATTCTTGCTGTTAATAGGCTTATATGATTAATATGCTACATTCATGTATTTCCACCTTTTTCAGTTATCATCATCATCCAAACATTTTACTTTTAAAATATCAAACTTGTTTGATTTTGCTTAAAAAGTTAAATTGGGATGCAACTTTACTGACTAACATTTAATAAGTATTCTTCCATTTTGTTTTAGAGTTTTGATATGGGAAAGACATGATTGGGGACAGGTGATGCCAAAGAAATATTATAATTAAAAGCATGCTTCTACACTACTTCATTTTCCTTTCTAATTAATAATGAAGCACCCTCTTCATCTTTATCTTTTTCTTGGAGGGTTTTTTTTTTTTTAAAACTAAATTCATTTAAAAGATGCATTACAACTTCTAACAGAGGTTTGATTTTGATTTTTTTTATTCATGAAACTTGTCCTGAATCAGTTTGAAATATGGTCATTTGTGATCAAAATAATTCATCTCACCACTCTATTTTTTTCGTTTTGATTGTGATCTGCCACTTTAGGTGATTCTGCTCTTCTAATTATGGTTTAAAAAAATCTTGAATCATTTCAAATTTAGAGTCTTTATCAGACAAAAAAATTATGATTTTAGTGACTGAAACATGTTTAGAATCTGCAAATACTGGGGGTTAGTTATGATCAGTCAACAACTGGATTAGATTTTAAAATTGTTGAGTCTTCATTTTATTTTATGTTTGTGTTAGATTTTGGTGAAAGAAAGGGAGCCCTTGGTGACATTAGAAAATGAAAAAGGAAAATCCCAACTCCAGTAACCATGCTTCATTTAATTGTTATGATCTCATCTCATCATGTGAGTTTTGTCACTCATTCCTTGTTTAATTAATAATTAATTGTTGGAATCTTAACAAACAAAGATAATGAAATCAATCTATGTTGATCCTAAAAACATTTCAATTTCTTTTTGATAGGTAAAACAAGTTCATCTTGTCTTGTGGTGGATACATGGTTCTAGGATTTGGCCGGATTTGAAAACTTTGTATTTTCTTCAATTCAATTTGTTTAGGCCAACTTCTTATATGAATGATAACATTAAGACTATAAATTTAGTAAGGTGGAAGTCAGGGCTTAGAAAAGATTAAAAGTAGTTAGATGTATTAGATTGTTGATAAATCTTGTTAAAGAATATGCCACTTCAATGAAGTTATCTATATTCCATTATCAGTTCCCCACACTGAGTGAGTACATTGTTACAGAGGGCCAATTTTCTTTCTTTTTAGGGCTTTTTGTAACTTTCTTTTTCCATTTCTGAGTGCATTGTTACAGAGGGCCACAAAGCTATGTTCTAAATTGAATTGATGTCTTTGTAACGTTTTTGGTCCTTGTCCCAAGAAAAATGACAATAGTTAGTTTTGGGACCAAAATTGCAAAGTTTAGCTTTACTCGGGGACCAAAAGTAGTCATTTTGCAAAAAAAATAGTCATTTTACTTGGAATAGAGACCAAAAATGAGTTAGGTGGAACAAGGAAAATTAGGTGTTATTATATCAAATGCTGCAGGAAACTCATGGTAGATTCAGTAACTATTATCATCTGAACTCATTTTGTTTTTAAGTAGTTTCATAGCTGATGTTGAAGAAGAACTCCAAACCTACCTTATATAAAACTTTGATCTTATATTATACTACAATAGATAACTTTCTTCCTTTCTAATATGGCAGGATTTTCGAGAATTACATCCCCTGTCTATTACAAAATCAAGGATGATTTCCTTAACACCTGAGTTGAAGATTTGGTAACTTACCCGAATTCATTAATGTTTCTAGATTACATAGAAGGACTTTTTCCCAATTAAATTTTGTGTACTACAGGGGACTGTTTTAGACACAGCCAAGTCCCTTATATTTCCTCTTCCACTTCTGGCTATTGCTCTACATCAACAATTCCTAGCAGGTATGCTCTACATCAAAGACATTATATGAATACTAAAATCAAATGAATAATCACTGATGCAGATGCATTAAATGGTCTTGATGGTTTAAAGGTTACAGATTATTAGACTATCATCTATCTGCTATCAACCATGTTCATTCATGTCAGAAATTGTTTCTCTGCAGGATTGGGAAAGAGTAGTTGGAGTTCAAATTAAGGATGCTGCAGAAACTTATAATCCTGAACAATTAATTAATTGGCAAAGAAATCACAAACACCAAATAAAATTGGTTTTATTGGTCTTGGAGCTATATGGGATTTGGCATGGCCAACTCATATTGTGAAATCAAATTTCTGTGTCCAAGGATATGATGTAACACTTTTTTTCCTTCCTTTCACTTTTTCTTTTATGTATTTAGATGAAGGGCAATTTGCAGTAAATAGCAACATACTTTTTTTCTCTTTACCAAAATAGAAAATATACTTTATTTTTTTTATCAACAAATCCATAAAAGAGATGCACTTGCACTTTTATTACTGATAATAGCAACATAGTTACAATTCCTTACCCATGAAACGAATAGAGTACCCTTAATGGTAGCAAAATGAAAGTATGTTGCTATTATGGATAAAAATAATAAATAATACAACATGTACAAAGCTCAAGATTCCGTTACTGTTATGCTTTGTCTGGATAATAGGTGTATAAGTCAACTTTATCTACAGGTTTGAAAAGGCTGGTGGCCTGATTGGAAGCTCTCCTGCACAAGTATCAAAAGGTAACATAAGAGATTCACATTCAGTGGTGGATTTTAAATTACAAAAACTCCATGGGCTTTAAATAATTATGTAGAGGTTCTTATTGTCATAACACTATTTTTTTTTGTATTCATACGACATTGCTTTAACTGGTAGATTTGTTAACCCTTTTTTGTATACATTATGATTTATTGTATCTGGTGGTGTCATAAGGGCTTCTGAAGGCACATTTACGGTGTGTAAGTTAGTCTTTTTACTGAATGCATCTCACTTTTAAGTTGCATCTTTTTATATGGGACAACTTTCTAGGGCTATTTTCTAGAAGGGCATTCATGTCTTTTGCACACACGACAAATCGAGAACAAGCCCATGTACCATTGACATCTGTCTTTGTTTCCAAACACTGAATTGTAAATACATTGTCTTGATGACATCATATATCAGTCTTATTACAACTATTATGACTAATCAAAATAACTTATTTTCCTTTTTTATTTCTTGCATGAATTTTCACTTCCCCTACATCAAATTGTCTTTAATTTTATTAACTTATTTTTTTGTAAAGATGTTAAATCAACTGACTGCTAGCTGGAGTTCATATAGCATCAGCAGCTGAAGCAATGGCCTTTGGAGCTCGATTAGATTTAGATACAAAAATCTTGTTTAATGTCATAAAAAATAAATAGTGAAGGAACATCTTGTTATGTCTTCTTTATTAAAATGTTAACTAATAAACATAATGGGATTAAGTTTCCATTTTATGTGTAGAGTTTGTGAAAGTTTTGTTTCCATTATTGCAGGATGTTTGAGAATCGAGGTCCTCACAATGATTATACACCCTTATCTGCACTTGATATCTTCGTGAAGGATCTGGTATGACTAATATCCATTTTGTTGTTTTGTGATGATATTTAGGAAGCAACTTTCGTTTCTTGTTGATTAATGAGGGAAAGGAAATAGTCCTTCATTCAACTTCTAAATATTCTTCTCATTTTGCAGCAGAGGGAGTGGGGAAGGATAATAATATTCATCTTGCACTTTCATTGTTTTAATTCTTGGATTCATAATTAACAAAGATAGTGTTTGTTCATTTCAATTCATTATGATAGGTAGAAGATGTTCATCCTAAAAGCACCTATTTGACACCAAGATCTTGTATTTACATGGTAACAAAGTCTGCATCTTTTTTTATTTTATCTTGATTACCTTCATCAACTAAAATGGTCTGGTGGTGTGCTTCTTCTTATTATATCCACCGGGCTTCTAGAGGTTAGCTTACATGCAACATAATTTATTTTCTAATGTATATATTACAATTGTTATAACTACAGAAATACATATTTATTGATGTCAGGTTTGTGAAGAGTCAGGCTAGCATCTGAAACACTTTTATCTAACAGTCCTTCTTATTGATTGTTGTAACACTTTATAACCTTAATTTTGATGATGATGATGATGATGTGATTTTTTTTTTTATTACAGTTTAGGTAAAGGTATATATTATTTAATATTCATTAAATCCTACTAGCTGAAGAATGATGCATGTTTACATTATATATGTATTTGTTATATGCTTCAAAGCATTGTACTTTTATGACCCTTTGAAAATCTAATCTCTTATATCTATATCTTTTTCACATTCAGACATTTTACTTTTAATCTTTTCCCTATTTAAGACATTATATTTTAAAAATCTAACTAGTTTTAGCATTATTATACTTTCCTCTGTATTTTCTTATTAATGTGATTTTATTTTTAGGAGAGGCATCATCTGATCAGGATGAAGAGTATTTTGGCTGGATTTTAAAACTTGGTATTTTCTTCAATTCAATTTGTTTAGGACAAATTATGTTATGATAATATTAAAGATTATAAATTTAGCAAGGTGGAATCTAGGTTTACCATGCTTGTTTACTCATTTTAATATTGTTGTAATGTAATATTGGCTAACAACAACATATAAACAACCACATTTATGTATTCCTACCCTTTTTTTTATTATCATCATCTTACAAATCCTTTTTTGACAGAACAACAAATTGGAGCAGTTGAGAGCACCTACAAATCTAGAAAAAAAAAAGAAGCTAAACGACTTTCCATTATCCAATTCCATTGCCAAGGTAAGAAATCAACTATCTCATTAAACTTTCAATGGTTTCTTCCTATTAAAATAATCTACTTTTATTTTACCATTATAGCTTTACTTATAGCGTTACTTTTTCAAGATTTAACCTGCTAAGAAATTCTACATTTTTATTTCCCTGATAAAGAACACATGAAAATTTTAACCTATAGCATTACATTTTCAAGATTTAACCTATTAAAAAGTTCTACTTTTTTTTCTTGATAAAGAGCACATGAAAACTTTTATTTAAGACATTGTACTTTGGAATTTGAAGCTTAATACTTTCCATTATTTTTTCCTTAGATATTGTTATTTTAATTACCTAAAATAGATTAGTTTAAAAATCCAACAAGTTTAACATTATACTTTCAAAATCTAACCTATTAAAACATTATATTATTTTTTCGATTAAGACATAGCAAACTTGTTTGATTTTGTTTACTAATTTTACCATATCCCATAATTTTTTGCTAATAAGACCTTTAATTGACTTTTTTGACTTTTTTCGATTAAGACATAGCAAACGTCTTTCATTCCCTTTTTCTGAGCCTGCTCCTTTAATCACACCTGGTAAGTCAAATCACTTCTTGTACTGCTGTTGCTGCTGCGATATGAACTCGCCGGTTATTTTTAATTTGAAGTTTGCGAATTAGGCTATGTTTTCACAATTCGGATTGTTTCTAATGTTCATTACGTATATTTCCGTTATATGTTCACAGTGGATGATACTGGCATCTACCATGCCCTTAACATGTGTTGTAACTGCAGAACTGCTTATTATTTCCGGCCGTTTAAGATAGACCTGCTTCTTCAAGGGAGCTTTCAGTTGCTGTTGATAACCACTACAAGAGAATTTATCATGCCTCTATGCATACAAATCAAGAAACTGAAAACCAAGATGTGGATCATGTTGAGTTAGATAAGAGCAATGTTCTGTTAATGGGTCCAACTGGCTCAGGTTTTCACTTATTTCTTGATTCTCTTTTTTGTTTATCGTATTCAAAGTTCTTTTGTTTTGATTGTTATATCATGAATTCGACTGAAAGGGCAGGGAAGACATTACTTGCAAAGACCTTAGCTCGAGTAGTGAATGTTACTTTTGTTATTGCTGATGCTACTACTTTGACACAGGTAGGTTTGATATAAGTTGTACCTTACATCAGATACAAAATTCATGTATGTATACATCAGTTTCTTGATATTTCATTACCCTCTTCTGTAGGCAGGTTATGTTGGAGAAGATGTGGAATCAATATTCTATAAGCTTCTTGTGGTAAGTTATAAATATAAGTTTTGGTCAACATTGACTTTATGCGTATACCTGTTGATCATTTGGTGCATTTTGGTTGACGGGATTCAGGTTGCTGACTTCAATGTGGAAGCAGCTCAACAAGCGACCACTATGGCAAACACTTTCATCATTATCATCTCCTGTTTCGACTCTTCCACTTTGCTTATACTCTACTCATGTGTGAGGCAACTACTGTTTATATTTTGCCTTCTTTAGATCATTCCTGATAGCTAATGTGGCTTAGTTTCGTCATTCTGTGTGACAAGATTTAGATGCTACCTCCTATTTGATTTTTTTTAATAAAAGATTCCAAAGTAAAAGCTTAAAATATGAAGGACGTAGTGTTATAAAAGTTAAGTAATTAGGCGGGTCTCGATTATTGAAATTAGTTGCGCTTATTAATTTATTATTATTTTTTTCAACTTTTAGGTGTATGTGGTGATTTACAAGACTGGGGATATGTTATGTTGACGGCTCAATTGATATGGGGTGAATTCAACTGAGATAAGCGGAAGTAGTTTATGTTTCTTTCTCTTAATCATTTACGCTTAAAAAAAACTTATAAGAAAAGTCACATTTTTAAAGTTAAATATTTTTGGGAATGACGGTTGTTACAACAGAGGATGTAGTCCAGCTCAGAAAATCCATTTGTACACCAGGGATGGTTCTTCAGTTTGGTACTAAATTTTTTCTTTATTCACTTATTTCCATAAGTTTTTATATTTGTAAAATATTCATTAATATATATTTTTTTACAAATAGGTTTCGGAAGTGATTCAGCAAACCCTCATCTGTCTCACAATCATGAGCAAAATAAGGTTGTATATACTGGAACTCTCACGATAATGACACGGTGATCTTGATTTTCTTATCATCAAATACAATTATATATAAGAAATGATTTTTAACTTTTTTTTGTTATAGATACGAGGTTGGTGGGATGTCTTGCACCAAGAAGAAAAATGCAATGCAAGTGAGTGTTTTTAAGTTTCGACACTGCAATCTTATATGATTATTTCCGGACAATAATTTATTTATGTATTTCAGTTACTTCATTATTTATTGAAGAAAGAACAAAAAAAAATTGAATCAGCACCAACGGGCGCGCATGATTCCCATCTAGTTTCCATTAAATGTGAACATGATACTTTTAAAAGCAACATATTAAGACATTATATACTTTGGATATCTAAACTTGTCTGATTTAGGTTATCAAATATAGTCTTATAGTTCAAGTTTTTAAGTTATTGTATGTTGATGATTTAACCATCTATAACATTATACTTTATAGCATTATATTTTTGAAATCCAATATTTTACTTTCACGTGTTTTTTCTTAATAAGACCTTGTCCTTTGAAAATGTAAAATATTTAAGTCACTGTATTGTCATATTTTCTCCTTTTAATACATTGTATTTTGAAAATCCAACCAATTTTCGCATTAGAACTTTGTACTTTCACAAATCTAACCAAATATGGCATTAAACTTGAAACTTCTAAAATTTATGTAGCTCTAGTAATATTCTTCAGTTATATCTATATACATTCTAACCATAAACACAATGAAAGTATAGCTTTACACTTGATTTTTTTTTTATGTATTAAAACTTTGTACTTTCACAAATCTAACAAATACGACATTAAATTCTAACTTACTTTCAAAGTTATATCTATACACCTTCTAACCATAAACACAATGAAAGTATAGCTTTAAACTTGATTTTTTTATGTATTAAAACTTTCTACTTTCACAAATCTAACAAATATGGCATTAAATTCTAACTTACTTTCAAAATTGTACCTATTAAGAAGATACTTTTAATTTATTTCCCAATCTGATATTAATTATATTTTGAAAATTGAATTTATTAAAGTTATAAGAATATAGCCCGATCCAATGTAACACAAAGTTATAAAACTTTGAAATTTATAAAAAGTTTTTGCGTAAGTACGGAAAATAGACAAAAAGTTCTTTACTCAACATCTAAACCCTATTAAAAAAAATAGACAAAAAGTTCTTGACTCAACATCTAAACCCTATTAAAAAACTGATTAATAAAAAATACAAATGAGAACATATAAAAAACAAATGTACTTTAAGTGCATGGCGTAACTAATTGTTTTTAATACATCCAGATTTTTTTAATATACATACATATAATTAAAAAAATTGGTCCCAAAAAATTAACCCTTATACGGCTGCTAACTTTGCCCTCTCTCAACACCTCTATGCTCGTTCTAAATCAATAACAAAATCCCATAACTTCAAAGAGAAGTCAATGGCTCCGGACCCAAGCACGCTTGAACACGTTACTGTTGTTCATAATCCGGTTGGATTCGTAATTCAGACAACGTTTCTGTAACATCCCAAAATCCAAGACCAAAAATTTCATTTTTGATTTAATAATTTATAAAACGGTTTAATGAAAACACTTAAATAACCTTGTTTCAAACATTACGAACATTTTAATTAAACAAATATCAGAGTCTAATCCCAAATATAACATATTGCGGAATAACATGGGTGAATGCGTTGCGATCGTCCCGAGCTCCTTTATTTGAAATTGTAAGCACCTGAAACCAAAACTGTAAACCGTAAGCACGAAGCTTAGTGAGTTACCTAGATACCACATACCATACATATCAACTGAGCCATACATAACTGTGAGCCATACATACCAATCATATATCAAATAAGTTGCTATGTGCTGCACATAGTCTTGCCATTATGCCATGGGCCGCCACGTGGTCTTTCTTGCCAAGCCGAGGGCCACCCCTAGGTCTTATAGATAAGTGCCAAGAGCTACTTCCTGTTCTTCCATGCAAGTATCACAAAGACAACTAGCATACATATTACTATACTTAGCTAATAAGAATACAGTGGGCCAGGAGCTACCTCCTGGTCTTTCATACATAATGCCTAGGGCTAACCCCCGAGTCTTCCTATCATACATAATAGCATACAGTGTGCCAGGAACCGCCTCATGGTCTTTCATACATAGTGCCAAGGGCTAACCCCCGGGTCTACCTATTATGCATAAACTAAATGGGTCGGCATTGTGGTCGTAGACCCATACAAACAGTGAGGAGACTTACCTTTCATTACTGAAGTCCCACAAATAATCCGTTGGCTACTAGTTGGCAAATCTCTGAATGGTTGATCCTTCGACTCCCCGAGCTACTAGTTATCATATAAACTAAATAAGTTTGGGATTCTCATAACTTAACCATAAGTCCTCACTGGGGTAAAAGACCATTTTACCCCTCACATATTCTTGTCTAAAATGAACTCTACTAAATCCTTCGCCCAAAAGATAAACGCTCTTATAAGGCCCAACACTTGGCCTAATTTCCAATAGGGCCTAATCCCTTCACATCGCCCTTAGTGGGCCCATTAAGTCCCAAAGCAGCCAAAGACCCATGAATGGCCGAAGCCAAGGCCCAATAACGCAAACCCAATATGACTGAGTATGTCAGCTGTACGCAAGTCCCAAACAAGCCCAAACTCCAAAGTCATTGACTTGGTGACTTTGCATGTCCCAAACAAGCCCAAACTCCAAAAATGGTATCCTACTTCCATGAAAATGGTCTTAACTCTTGCATGTGTTGGATTAGGTGTTTAAGACCATAACTATATTTGGTATGTACTTGATTTGATTATGAGCATGCTCCTTTTGGGTTGCCTTGACTCATGCAACTTGATAGGATGATAAGTGGAAATAGAGTAGGATTTATTGTATGAATAATAAATTGGTACTTAGAATGATTTTATTGATATATTACTAGATTAATATATTATTTGAAAATCATAATATTAATTAGTAATTATTCAGAAATTAATATGATATTAATTTTGGGATTAAAAGGAACTGATTAATAATAAAGGGACTGTTTTGCAAATCATTGATAGTTGCAAAGTTGGGTTGATGGACTATTATGGGAGGACCGGATGAAATCTATAGGAGGCCCTATAGAATTCGTCCAAGGCTTCTATTGTGGAAGTCCATGGGTTGCTTGGTGCCTAAGCAATGTATTAAGGTTTCCTACAGAAACCCTAACAGTCCACTCAAATCCAGGTAGTTCAGTTAAAATTACTGTGAGTCAAAACCAGGATAACACAACTACTTTCCAAAGAATATATATTTGTTTTAAGGCAATAAAAGAATGATTGAAGGTTGGTTGTCGTAGGGTTATTGGACTAGATGGGTCTTTTTTAAAAGGTCAATGTAAGGGAGAATTGTTAATTGCTATTGGTAGAGATGCAAATAATCAAGTGTATCCCATTGTTAACTACTATTGAGGTTAAAACCGAGTATGAGGTTAAACCTGATGTTGAGGTTAAACTCGAGTATGAGGTTAAACCTAATGTTGAGGTTGAACCTGATATTGTGGATGAGGGGGATGGAATTGATATATCAAATATGGATATAATAGTAAGTTCCATTATAAATTTGAGTTCATCAAACTACAGTGATGCTGAAATAATGTCTACTCTTGGAATTAATGAATCTCAATTAAAGGAGTTTGGATCTATAAATGTGGTGAGTGTTTCTTTTTAAGGGCATTACAAATCAAAGCCAAAATTTGAAATTATTTGTTTTGTTATTCAGGAAACCAATGTTCAAGAAGAGGTTAATGTTCAGGAAGAAGAGGGCAATGTTCAAGAAGAGGAAATCAATGTTCAAGAAGAGGAGATCAATGTTCAAGAAGAGATTCAGAATGATGAGGAGATCAATTTTCAAGAAGAGATTCAGAATGATGAGGATATCCAAGAAATCATGAGGAGGAGCACCCAAAGAATCAGGAGGAGGAAGCCATCAGAGAGGATAACTAAGTTGAAGTTGAAGAAGCAAGTGGTCAGCAAATTTGGAATGACTGAAAGCAAACCACTTAATTTAGAATAAGTCAATGGTAGCTCTTTTTTTGTAATTAAGTCATTGTGTTGGCTTTATATAACTCTTTGGGTAAAAATTTCCTTTTTTGTAAATGTTTTGGAAAGTCAAACACTATGACATACTTTGGTATGTAGTTTGGTATGGTTATTTGGTAATGCAGTTTGGTATGTACTTTTGTATGGTTTGTAATGCAGTTTCATATACTTATTTTGTAATGCAGTTTCCTATAGTTATTTGCTATCCTAAAATTACAACCATAATCCAAATAATTGCAATCAAACCAAATATGCATTTTAATACTCAGATACCATTATATACTCAAATACCATTACATTAGAAGATAAATTTTTCCACAATTCATACCATTACATTCCAAAAGAAACAGGGAAACATCACATTACATAGAAACATAAGCAAGCATCCTAAAATTACATGAACATTAGCCAAATAATTGCAATTAAACCAACCAAACACGAAATCTTCCATCCCTTAACAACCATTCCACCTTCCACTTGCAGAGGAATCTGTTGCACTACTTCTTCCACATCTTCATTCATAAAGTCTTCAAATTCTTCATCATTGACTCCATAAATTCCTTGGTTGTGAAAATCATATATCATCTGTTTGTACCAGTTGTTTGGTAATGGAGGATCTATCCATTCAAAGAATTTGCAATCCTTCTCCTTATCATGCATTGGATGACATTTTGCATAGTGCAAAAATTGGATGGTGTTTAAGGGAAATTTCAAAGATTTGAAAATAAAAACCTTACATTTAACTGATATAAGGTTCTTCGGTTTCCATGAAGATAAAAACCTCACATTCAAAGACTCGAAGACACTAACCTTGTAATTGGGGCAAACAAGGAATCTCCTTCCAGGGTTCTTCGGTTTCCATGAAGTCCACCTGCCAACTGGTTCATCACAATCGCACCTTCTTCGAACTTGCTTGGCTGACCTATATGCACTCCTGTTGGAGACGGAGGAGGAGGAAGCCATATTCAAAACTTGCAATTTGGTCGATGTAGGGTTTGTGGACTCTTAAATAATGTAGCAACTGAGGTAAATAACGTAAGAGAGAGAGAGAGAGAGAGAGAGAGAGGTATGATCGAGTCAGCTTCCATGTAAGCAAAATAGTACCACGTCGGTTTGTCACCGGTTGCAAGAGTGGTAATCGGGTAAATTGGGTCAATTCGCCGGTTTATCCGGTATTTTAGGCTTTTCCGTTAACATTTAATAGTTTAGGACTTTTTCGTAAATGCGGGCAAAATAATAGGACTAAAATGGAGATAATCACATTGTTTATAAGCTAAGAATTAGTTTTTTAACTACACAATATGAAATCCATAGGGTACCAGTCGCTAGATGCACCTTTCTGTCCACTTGGCATTTTCTAATAGTTTTTATTTTTTTTTCTTTAATTTTCTAAAAACACATGTAATTTTTATTTTAGATTTAAATAAATTATGTTTATACTTACGTTTTCTAATCAGTAATCTAATTCCTAAATTTTTAGGATACATATCAATTACCCCGAATTTGTTTAGGCGCCAACTTATTCAATTCGATGCATTCCACGAGAAATCAACATGTCTTCTCCAAATTTGAAAACGATTACTACATACATATATTCTTTTGAAAACTCCATGTGTATTTCATATACACCTCAACGACACAATTTTTTAGAAGAATCTGTGTTTCTTTTCTGCATGACGCTATCGATTTGAAGACAATTTCAGTCGGTATTTTCTTTTAATTTTTAGATTCTAATCTGATTTCACGTATTTTGCTTCTGAAATTTTGTATATGTACGTTTCTAAAACAAAACAACTATGACTGCTTCAATTTTTGGCAATCTAGCTTTCTGGATTTTCATAAGTACTAAAATTTTATTGATGAAGTGTTCATATATTTAAGGATGTGCCATGTGTGCACGATACTAGATTTTCTGAAGCTATGCTTGAAGAAGAGTCTTACAGGTCGGTCAAAAAGGTTTTTGTTTTTTCTTCTCATGATTTGCATATTTGTTACATACAAACTGTCTTATAATGCATATTTTCATTGATCGTTTTTTGGTTTTTTCAACCTAATGATTCAGAAAAAGTTCAAAGCAATGACCTAGGCATATATTAATGCTTTCAAACTCATTGCAACGTCAACTTTCTTGGATCCCTCTAGGTCTTTGGATAAAGAGGTAGATGATTCAATCAGATTTTTTCACTATTTCTAACCAATCATGATGTATCTGATCAGAAAAAGGTAAGGTTTCATCATCTTGGGATTCCTGCTTGGTGAATTGTGTAACGTTAAGTGATTTAATAATTTGTTGCATCAATTGCATTCCTAATATGATCCTGATGTAACTAACATAAAGTTCATAATTTAGAAATATGTAAGTATTAATTTATTTTAGTTGAACACATTTTCATTCAAATCTCTTTTATTTCTTTCCCTTATTATCAAACATCAAATTTGTTTTATTTCTTTCCTTCTCACCCTTCAAAATTATATGCCTATTAGTGTACAAAATATCGAAAATTATGTTGTTTTGTTGATGATGTGTTGTCCCTTTCTTGTAATATGGAAGCCAATTACTTTGTGTATCCTACGGTAAGTCTCATTATTGTAGTTTCTTAGCATGGTTTTTCGGTTTTTCCGTACTTTTGATTCTATATACAGTTAGTTGATCATATTTGTGTGTGTTGATATTTCAAAAAAGTATTAATGGTTTTGTTTTCAATCTATATGCAGTTGAATTGGAAATTTATATCCTTATGTTTGGATCCATCCTATTTTTTCATGTACTAAAATTTTAATAAATTTTAACCTATTATCCATCCAACCAATTATATATTATTTTAATTTGTTGAAGTCAAAAGTTACATCAGTGGGCAGTCCATCTTTTCTTAATTCCTTATTTTTGTATCAATTTGGTTCATGAAGAATGAAGTTGTAAATAAAAAGTAAATAAATAAATTTGGTCCAATAGGAACAAAGTACTGTTCTCCAAGGGATTTCAAAATTAATCTATATATATAATATGACAAAATTACCATTTTTGTCTATTTCTGCTTAATTTTACATTATTTTCTAACTTATATGTAAAGATACGTTATATAAATTATAAAAACAATAAATTTTCACCGGTGGTGAGGGTGGTGGAGGCAGACAGTGGTGGTGATGGTGGTGGTATCGTTGATTGTGGTGGCGGTGATGGTGGTGGCAACATCGGTGGGTGATGGTGGAGGTGTTAGTAGTGGTAGTGGTGGGTGATGGTAGTGGTGGTGGTGGTGGCAATGGTGGTGGTGCGTAGTGGCAGCAGCGGGGGTAGTAGTGATAGCGGCGACAAGAGTGGTGGCGGGTGGTGGCGGCGACGGTAGTAGTGGCGGTGATGAGAATGAATGTTTTCCATCCAACTTTCAAAAGAATTCAATTTCCTCCATATGGTGGAAAGTGACAGGGACAAAATAGTCATTTTCATAAAAGCAGTTGAAAAACTATGAACTAAGGACCAAAACTGCAAAAAGATTCTCTTTTGGACCTAAACCACCAACCTGAAAATAACAACACAGAAAGAAACTCAGACTCTGTATAGATGTAAAGAGTATGGAATGCTAGACCTGAAATTAGTAGATCACAAATTAAAAAATTATAAATATATTTTGCCTTGTAGAATACACAAATGCAAAACATGAATGTTAATGACAAATAAACAAAATGAATTAATCTTATTTTCTTTCCATTGGAATAAAATGGAATTTGTTCCATTTTAATATATGTAATATTTTATGGCAAAAGGAATTGTAACAGTGTCTAGTTAGTATTATAAAGTTGCATTTTGTACTGTTTAAAATTGTTAAATATTGCTACCAAAAGAAATTACCATTTGATCAACCAACTTGTTTCAGCTTCTCCTTAATATGGTTTGACAAATGAAGAATCTCACAATTAACAAATCACAACATTAGAAAGATAAACTGATATGAACATGTATGTATAATATCATTAAAAAAAATCAAAACCAAAATATTTTCAACATGACAAAAAATCAAAACAAAAAATTTACAAAACATGTGCAAGAATCTGAAATAAACCTTTGAAACAGGGCAAAACAAATTTAGGTTTTAGAAGTAAAATATCATTAAAAGGTTAACATTCAAAATAAAAAGTCATAATAGAAAGAAAAAAAAAGGTACATTGTGTTAAGCGTGTGTTAAAATGTTGGATTTCGAAATGTTAAAACTGAAAGTACAATCTTCATAGAAAATAAGTGAAGGTATAATGCTAATCAAGTTTAGCCTTCAGATTAACAGGAAAAATATACAACTTCTTAATAGGTTGGATTTTGAAAGTATAATATTATAAGTAACTAGATTTTCAAAAAAAAAAAAAAAAAATTAGAATTACCTTGTCTTACTAGAAAAAAAAAATTAAAACAATGTCTTAATATGTTTGATTTTAAAAATGAAATCCATACTTAATGTAATTGGCTTGGCTAAAAAGTAACAATATTAAAATGCTTGTTCAAGCATCATAGCCGAATGAAGAGGATCCTGCAAAAACAGGAAGTTTTTTTTAACAAAATTCTCGTATATAATATTTTTATTCACAAAAGAGAATTGATTATTACCTCTTTATATCTATCGACCACCTGTTCTTAATCTTTCAATCTACCAAAGACCACACCATTTCCTGAAGTAATAAATAAATAATCACAAGTTTTAGAAAATGAGGGGTACTTCTGGAAATACATAAACATGGGTCATAGACTCATATATACCTGTATATCGCTTCCATGCTTTGTCAGCATGTAATCAGTAGATAGATAGAAGGTGGTAATTTGATAAAGCAAGTTAATAATAAAAACTTTAAAGTTATAATGCTATAATTGGTATCCAAAACCAAACATGTTTAGTTTTTCAAAGTACAGTGACTTAATAATCATAAGTAAACCAACTCAAAATTTAGACGAGAAACTTTTAAATGATGAGGATATGTGAAGGTCATTTTCGTCTTTTATTCAGACGGATCCCACCTTCCACATTTTTGGGTGGGATATAAAATTGCAATGTGTGTCTCAAATGCATGACCAAAGCAGAAGAGAGTAAGGATTATATCATCATCATACAAATATATTTGCACTTCATCTTTGTCTTAATATGAATAAGTTGAAAGTAGAATATTGTAATAGAAAGAAATGAAACTAGGATGCTGAAATAAAACACAAATGAATGAAAGCAAGTTGTTATATATTGAGTTCAACCCTAAAAATTACTTACACTTTAAGAAAATCCATGACATCAGGAGACAAGGGAAGGAAACCATTAACAAAAAAGTAAGTTGTCTTTTATTTTGTTGAATACATATAACATGAGATGAAATCCATATTCTCCCCCACATACATATAACATGAGCAAACACAATTGCACTTGCCATATGATGTGTTCACTTGAAATACCCTTGTTGTCCACTAAAATGATAATAATAAGAAAAAAAAAAAACTGTTAGTGTTTCTTCAAGTTAACGATTGTTGTTTTCGGATGAAAAGCTACAAATACATTGCTCTTATGAATAAATATTAAAGAAAATTATCTATTAAAATATTAACAAAATTTGCGATGCCTGATCGCATTTCTTGTATAGATCATGAGATGAAATCCATATTCTCTTAATATAATTGGTTTGGCTAAAAGGTAACATCAATAAGATGTTTGTTCAAGCATCACAGCTGAACGAAGAGGTTCCTGCAAAAAAATTCGTTTGCAAATTTTTCAAAAGAATTGAAGTGAAAATTATGTTAAATGACCAAAACACCCTTTAGTGACTTTTTTTTATAAAATGATAGATATTTACTGGAAAAGATTTTACTCATAAGACAGCTAGTAAATACTAGTTATATAAACATCAAACACATGTGTACACATACTCTAATTTCATAAACATTAAAAGAAAAAGTAATATGACATTAAAAATGAAGACAAATAACTAATTAATAATAT